TCAGTCATTTCAAACTCACTTTGCATGGATTTCTTGAATTCATCCACTTGAGTTTGATTGCTTCCAATTACTAAAAGATCATCCACATACATGAAATGATCATCAAGTCATCTTCAGCTTCTCTATGTATAGAGTGTGTTCATTTGGACTCCTAATAAAATCCAAGTTCAATAAGTGGCCATTGATCCTGCTGTATCAGGCCCTTGAGCATGTTTTGGCCATACAAGCTTTCCTCAGCAAATACACCTTCCCTCCTGTCCTGGATCACATACCCTTCAGTTGTTCAATGTAGATTTCCTCATTCAACCAACCATTCACTAAGGCAGATTTTACATCCATTTGGTACACTTTCCAGAGAATTGAGCAGCCACTACAATAGCAGTCTAATGGTGTCATGTTGTGCACACGAGCAATGTCTCCAGGAAATCCATTCCATACTGCTGAGCAAATCCCTTACTACAAGCCTGGCCTTTGCTTCAGAATTGACCCATCCGATTCGCTTTCTTCTGAAAATCCATTTCACCTGAATAACCTTTCTGTTTTTTGGTCTGTCCACCAGCTTCCATTTGGTTTTTTCTCAATCATGGCAAGCTTCTCCTTCATGGCACTCCTCCAGGATCTGATTGTGTAGCCTCTAAATAACTTGTAGGTTCCATTTGTGCTAAGTTGCACCTGTCATACACATCAGCTAGAGTTTTGGTTCCCCTAATAGCAACTTCTTTTCTGATTGCTCCCCTGAATCTTCTTCTTTGATCAGGTTGAACCTCACTCAATTGAGGTTGTGTATCTACATCAGCTCTACCATTTCCCCAGTTCCAGACCTCTTTCTCATCAACCTTAACATCTCGGGACGCCACCACTTTTCTAGAGTCAGGAATATAAATCCTGTAGGCCTTGGATTGGCTACTGTAGCCAATAATATTCCAGTCATAGCCTTATCCTCCACTTAGTCCTCTTTGCGATGGCATTAGGACATAGCAAAGGCTTTCAAAAATCTTCAGTTCATCCACTGCTGGTCTGACTCCAGTCCAAGCTTCAAAAGGTGTTTATTTTTCAAGGCTTTGTGGGAATTTGTTGAGTAGGTAGACACTTGTGTTTGCTTCTTCTGCCCAAAATGTTTGGGAAATTTTTCTCAGCCATTAAACATCTTGCATTTCCTGACTGTCCTATTTCTCCTCTCACAAACTCCCTTTTGTTGTGGGTGTGGACTACTGAATTCATGTCTTATCCAGCTTCAGTGCAGATTTTTTCAAACTCTTGAGAATGTATTTAGTGCATTATCACTTCTCAAGGTTTTGATGGATTTTCTGTCAAATTTTCTACTTCTAGTTTGAATTTTCGAATGTTCCAGCCACCTCATTTTTCTATCTTAGGAAGTAAATCCACCCCATCCTAGACCAATCATCTATGAACAATACAAAGTACTTGCTCCCTGAGTGATAAGGTTTGCATGGGGCCACATACATCCGAGTGAACAAGCGGGAGTTTTTAAAGGCTCTCCAAGCTTGGTTACTGGGAATGGTTTCCTACTCATCTTACCTAGTTGACACACTTTGCCCACACCTCTCGGCTTTTTAACAATAGGCAGATTCTGGACTAGATTTTTAGACTACATTTCACTCAAATTTCTATAGTGTACATGGCCTAATCTCTTGTGCCACATTTCAGTTTCATCTTCTTTAACATTGCATGCTGTGTGTGGTGTACTTCCACATTATTGGAAAGCTTTTCCCTACCATTTCCACTCTCAAAATCTCATTACCCTTACTGTCTTGAATAATGCAGGATTGTTTTTGAAAACGTAGTGCATAATTCCTTTCCAACATTTGTCCCACACTCAAAAGACTTTGACTTATATTAGGTGCATAAGTACATTTGAGATTAGCTTTGTACCTTTGGAGTTTGAATGTCAACATCTCCCTTGCCTCTTGCTTCCCACACCCTCCATTCCCAACTTTAATCTTTGACCGATGAGAGTTATCTATATTCACAAAGCAGCTCAAGCTGTGTGTCATGTGATGTGTGCAGCCACTGTCAAGTAGCCATGTATCATCACTGGTTTGGACCAGATTTGAAGAGGCCACAAACAGCTGTTCTGTCTCCTGCACTGTTGTTGTTCATCAGCTGTTTGAGCTTGTTGTTGGACTGCTCTCCTTTTTTTGCACACTCTTTAGGCCAAACTATTTGCAAGCTCGACACTGTATACCTCTGAACCAACATTTGTGCTCTGCATGTCCTTTTCTTTGCAATAAAACAGGCCGAAAACTCTTCATCCCACCAGTTTTATTCCACTGGTTATTCCCCTTTCTTTCCTCTTTTTTCCCCAGCAAACTCCTACAGTTCCCTTGTCCAGTCTTGCCCTTATAGGTTGCTAACATTGCCCCTTCATTTGCATCCTTTAGCCTTAGGAGCCTTCTCTGCTCTTGTGCCTGCAAAGCATGGACCACTCAATCATGGATATGAGTTAGGTCCTTTTATTCCTCCAAGGATGAGATTTTGGCTCAAACCTTTCGGCAAGCTCACCATTACCTTCTCCACTATTATGCTGTCTAACATCTCCACTCCGAGTAATCTATTTTGTTGACAATGTTCATCACCTATCAACATATTCTTTCACTTTCTCAGCCTCCTGCATTCTTAAGATTCAAACTCCTTTCTCAAATTCAGAACCTGCATGTTTCTTGTAGTGTTACTTCCCATGAACTCTTCCATCAACTTGTCCCATGATTCTTGGGCTGTTTCACATGCCATAATCCTTGTGAAAACAAGGTCTGTGACAGTTGAGTGGATGTGGACAAGGCTCTTGGAGCCTTTGAGGCTTCCCCTTCATGCATTTGAATTTGGTTAAGAGTGGGATTTGGTCCCAGCTGAGGGGCGTCTCTCTTCCTCTCATACTGCCGAAATCCTTGCCCCTCAGGTAAGCCTTCATTTTGACTGACTAAATATTTTAGTTGTTCACCGTTGAACGGAGGTAGAAGGGAAGCTGTTGGAGTAGTCATTTGTTCAAGAAAAACCAGGTCTGATGCAATACAGTTTCACGAAGACTGTGAGTTGTTTTGGAGAAGAAATGTTTAGTTTTTTTGGTTGGAATCAATGTAGCTCTGATACCATGTTGATGTTTATGCACTGGAGTTTAACAAAGAAAAGAAAAAGAGCTGAATTGAATAAGAGAGATGCGTTTTTCTGCATTACAAAATATGTTTTCATTACGCTGTAAGCAAGTTTTACACTGACTTATACCTAATTTGCAAACATATAATAACTTAAATTAATCTAAAGCCACACACTTAATCAACTAACAACTACGGCATCAGACCTCCCTTACAATCTGGAATGCATATCACACTTTTACAAAATGAGCTAAACATGCAGCATATCAATACACCCCTGGCAGACTTCAGTTTAGGTTTTGCCGCCAACACACATTCAAAACTTTAACTAAACTGCTGCATTTCCAGCCATGCATCAATGTTCAACAAAAATAAAGAAAGAAAAGGAAAACAAATAAAATAAAACAGCCATCTCAAACTCAGCAAGAATAAAGTAAAGTAATTGAATTTTCTCTAGGTCAGTCATCTGAAAGCAACATACTTCAATAACTTGCTTAAGTTGATTGAAAGTATATCATTAGCAGAGTTTCAGGTGTTCAACAAGAAATATCAGATACCTTCAGAGGTAACAGATGAAAGTACTGGCAGATTCCTCTTTAAATAACTTCATAGTGCTGCCTTCAAGTAAAGCAAATAACTCTCCACCAGAGCAAAAGTCTGTATCAAACATGTGTGTAGGAGTTGAGGAGATAAAAGAGACATCAGTATGATTACTGCAGTTACTAAGTCATTTTAAGAAACCCAAGAAAATTTCTTGATATGACTCTAATGAAATATGTTAAATTGTAGTATTAAGGGTATTGGATGATGATCAATATAAACATAAAACAGAAAAAGTGCAGATCTCTCAGTTTCAAAGAGAAAAGGTTGAAAATACCTTCAAGAAATTTTCTTTTCCTATTTATTGGGATTTGTTTCCTAGGGTAGATTTCCATTGTCTATTAGTTTAGGTTTCGGCAACTACAGATAAGAGCTTTATTTCGGTTGGAATCAAGACTTGCTAATATTGATTATTGTGTAATATAGCATATTATTCTCTCTTATTCTCTCTTTTCTTTTCCTCATTTGACTTTCATCACAGTCTGCATATGTTTTTCCTCTTTGATGTTTTACTCTAATACTAAAATTTAGGTTGGTTGAACTTTATTATTTTCCAACCCTTCTTTTTGTTTATCTACAACTGAAGCTATAGAGACAAAACCAGGATGGTAAAGCATGCTCATAACTTTACGTCAGATTTGCGTATAACAGTGTGATAAATTTGGCTGATGCATCTATACAGCTGATCCAAGCCTTTTAATGTAAAGACACTATACGACTGGAACATTTGCCTGTATTTCTTGCTGTAATTTGCAAAGCAACAGTATATTTTGCTATATTTTGGATATATATTATAGGTTCTTTTTGAATGATTGTCTCTTATATACTTTGAATTACCAAAAGATACCACTTTGATTAAGAGCAGATTTTGACAGCAATGGTGTTGTAAGTTAATGGCAATGCAGAGGGTGAGAATTTGTAAGTTATCACACCCTTTCAATTTGAGGAATGGAAAATGAAACAAAAGCTAGATATCCACAACAGTACAACTATGCCATAGCAGAGTCTCAAAAAGAATAGGAGAGATGGGAAGTGTTGAGTTATATTACATGGTTAAAAACAGGGCAAAGTCTTAATTCTCCACAGAAATCAAGTAAAAACAACCTACATGCTTTACTTTAGGTTTAGGATGACGCAATGACGGAACCTCCTCCATCTCACCTTCATGGTCTGTATCCCATTTCTGGTCATATGATAAGAGAAAACATGAATCAGCAATAAAGGGAGTGCAGAGCATAGTCAATCTGAAGTCTTATGTTTAACATTAGAAATGGTTGTTAATCCAAACCTTTAGAAAAGGTCCAAATCTACAGGCTTAACAAGCACTCCATCATCTTCCCATTTGACATCTTTGGCTTTCAGATCTTTTTCAATTAACTCAAAGGGTGCATCTAGTGAAGGCGGGCTCTGCATATGCATAGAGAAACATTCGATATTAAATCATTTGCTGTTTAAGAATTCAATATGGTAAAATGCAAGTAGTCCTCTCCTACCATGGTGCGAATCAAAGGCCAATTGATTCCGTGGAAGAAAGGATGTTGTTTAATTTCATTGGCACCACTATTTGATCCTAAACGATCTGCAGGATCTCTGTTTAACAACAAATTAAGCAGCTACCTACCTGCAAGACTTACCTGGAATGAAACATCAAGCAAATTAACATCAATTGCCTGCTGTAACATCCTTGCCATTAAATTTGCCTGCTCATCTCATGAAACCGAAATGTTCTGCCCGAATGGAATACTAATTTTGCAAGTTCAATGAAGAGAAGCCCCGTTCATCATCATCAATCACTTCTAAATTCATGTTGACATCTTCGATTATGGTTTTCCTAGCTAGTTAAAACTTATAGCTCGTACACATTTTCATCAAAGGCAGTGAAAATTTAGACCCAATATACTTTGTAGCCATGATGTTCTCAGGAAGGTATCCGCTACGTTTCCAAAAGAAGTTTTCGGTTAATACTCACTTGTTAAATGTTCTCCATTGTTAACTATTCATCAATTTAAGTTCAAGAGATCATCCATATTTTGACCAAACCTCAAGATCCTGAGCATGTATACAATATCCGCTGACTCAACAGAATAACCAAAGAATAATTTTAACTGACTTAAAAGGCGATAGATTTTTACTGGAATGCTACTTGGGAAAGTGAGGTCTTTGTGCAAAATGTTGGCAAATATCTTCTGTCTATTTTTACCTCTGAAAGATGTGCGGCCGTAGAGCATCTCATACAAAAAAATACCTGACTACTAGACATAAAATGAATTCAAAGCACAATATAAGCTAGTAATATGTAAATTCCCACATCTAGAAGGTAAGATGAATCTAAAACTAGTATTTTTGAAGCATATCATTTAAAAGAAATAACAAGAAGAGGAAACACAACACGATCATGGTATCATATATTCAGCTTCAGCGGGTGCTTACCAAGAGCCCACCAATCAATAGCACTGCTGTGGCCAACATCTGTAATAATTTCCTGAAATCGAATAACAAATATTAAATACATGATAATACAGATTGCAGAAACAAACAAGAGTAGGAAAAGAACTGTTAATATCTATTAGCTAGATTTTCAAAAACCAAATTAGACAAAAAGTTTTCATGCAGCAAATATTATCTAAACCTTCCATTTCAGATGAAGCAAATGTTAGAGTCATGAAAGTGACTCTATTTTGGTGATAAAAATACCCCATTTGTGATTAAATTGAAGTATATTGAGACAATTAAAGAATTTATGAATTTATTCACGAAAATCGCTTCCTAATATTTTTCTTATGAATTTAACGTGTTTGGAATGATTTTGGAAAATATATGAGTTGATATGAGGTTGTGGTTTATGGATTAAGGGTGATTTTGTCTCATTTATGCTGTTTAGGGGGTAAAATGTCATGTTTTAAGGGGCTGATTTTGTCACTTTTTAATTGTGCAGGGACTAAACTGAAATTTTGCAATATGTGGTATAAAAGAAAAACTGCAGATCGCGTCAAAGGGGGGACTGTTCATCTTCACTTTTCCGGCGACGCTTCATCTTCCATTCCGGCGACCTCCGGCGACGCTTCATCTTCCTCGACCCCAGATCATCATCCCGTCAAAGCCACGGCAAACCACCACGGCAAACCACCACCGAGAACCACCACGCCGCGACGCTTCGTCTTCCACCGCGACTCTTCGTCTTCCCGGCCAGTTTTGGCCATTTTCCGGTGACGTTTCAGCTCCCCAAGGGTAGATCTCACTTCCCCACAGCCGGATCTACACTTCCCTAGCTTCAGCCGCCGCGAAAACCGCCGGAATCCGTGATTTAGCCGCCGCGACTCTTCATCTTCCAGGCCAGATCCTGCTCATTTCCGGCGACTTCTCACCTCCCCGGGACCTGATCTGAACTCCCCATCACCAGAGCTTTCCATCGGTACCTTCGGATCCCATTTCCGCCACCGTTTTCCGGAGACCCGCCGGAAAATTAACGTTTTCCGACGAACCGCGGCTGTTCGTATTCCGGGCTGTCCGTTGGTCGTTTTCGCCCCTTTTTCGCACCATATCGCTGTCGGTTACCTCCTCTCCGCCATGGTCAGCTCCGTTTCCACCGTTTCGGCCTCCGTCATCACCATCATGAGCGGCTAAGCTCCCGGTTGTCTGTTACGGCATAGGCGAGATCGGGATTGACTCCACGACTCTCCTCATCAGCTCTCGACTAGTTGGATGAGCCCGATTATAGGACATTTGGTAGTATTGTGCTTCGGATTATATTTGTTTTCGTTTCATGATTGATTTCGATACTTTAATATGATTTGGGCATAACTTGTGATGAATATTGTTGTCCATTGTGATTTAATGTTTTCATAGAACTTGCTGAATGATAAACGTTGGTTTGGAATAATTAAATGATGAATATTGCTTACATTACTTCGCATCGATTGTAATTGAGTTGTGTTTGGATTTAATTTAATTTCTACTATTGTTGCGTTTATTGTGAAGTTGGTTGATTGGATATTACGTGTTGACAGATTGTATTTGTTAATCGCGTACCAACTAGTGGTATTGCCTTGTAGTGTTTATCGACGTTCAATGATAGTCTTTAACCAATCGAACTTGAGTGATCGGGTGAGACAGGATAGATTATACCTAGAGTGTCGGGAAACCATTTCATTGATTTACCTTGCCTTGTAGGTTTAGGGGATCGTAGAGGGTGGAGGAGAATTGTGTGAGTCGGTCTCGTGTCGAACCAAAACCGTAACGGCAACATTTTTATTATAAAGTCTTTATTTGTTTAAATTTCACTATTTCATTATTTGCATTTTGTCTTTTTAGTTTCATTAATCCATTGCCAATTTCATTTCCGCTACTTAAAATACATTAGGTTGTTAGTCTTTCTCCCTGTGGATTCGATCCTGCTTACCGCTAACTACGGTACTTAAGTTTAATTTTTAGACTGTGACGATCGGTCTAACAGCAAATGGACATTAACAAGCTAACAAATGCATAAGCTCTGGGAAAAATTGAATCTCTTATAGGAGCAATGTACTCTTCAATTCCCACAAATGAATTTGACACTGTAACTGGTTCTGCCAAAAATGTTGGCAGTGGCTGACTTCTGGATCTTCTCCTATTATTAGGTGGTGGATGCTTAATAATCTGTAGAAGTAATAAAATTTATAGTCTGTAAAGGTAGTCTTAGTTCCCATTCTAAGCATTTGATAAGTCTCAAAGTAGATAGGAAATTCCGGAAAGATGTAATTGTTTGCAAATTCTGTGTGTAGACATGACAAAAGCACATTTTGTGGTGACAAGAGATTACAAGGAATCCTTTTCATAACCTTGCAACGGCAGAGAAAGAATGACTACATAAGATAGTTATTTTTTTACACACTTTAATCCAGCAAACATAAACCTTCCAACCCTGGCATGGGCATGATTTATTTCATAGACTTTGTACACCTATAAGAAACCTCAAAAGCTATAATATAGGTAGTACCCTACAAATTTAATCCAGCAAACATAAACCTTCCAACCCTGGCATGGGCAGGATTTATTTCATAGACTTTGTACACCTATAAGAAACCTCAAAAGCTATAATATAGGTAGTACCCTACAAATCATGCAATTTATATCGGTATAACTAAAAGGAAGTGACCGTCTTGCCATCAAACAGCCTTCCTGAAAGGGAAATCATCTTTTTCATGCGTACCAGTGACAAGAAAAGAGCAGCTGAACACTCTCCAACAAACAGTTGATAAATTGAGCTAACTCATATTATCCATGCTCAGGGAACATAACTCAGGAAATAGACAAAGTGCATATCCTAATGAAAATACAAACAATTACAGGAATGTGGAAACATACTCGGGGTTTGCAGGACGTCATGAATGATAAATCAAAGTCACTTAATACTATATGCCCATCTTTCTGGAGTAAAATATTTTCAGGCTTCAAGTCTCGATAAATTATTCCTGTAGGGTCATCACCAACAAAAATAGAAAAAAGCACAAGATTAATGACATGAATTAGTTATAAAAAATTATTGGATTGCAGCCAACTAATTTTCTTTATCTTAAAGCCATTGGAGAACATGTCTCTCACTTCCATCATTAGCTGATATCTCCCACTCAACTTTACAACAAAACTTCTCATGCACAGATTTTCTTCTAAAAGCCATTGGAGAACATCTCTCTCACTTCCTTTTTACAATGATGCAAAATATTTTTGTTCAAATCCAATGAAAATATGGACTCTGACATTTTCCTAATACTTCAAACAAAGATGATTACTGTTTAGTAATGAACTCACATAAATAACTTGATATTTTTTCAAGTTATGATACAGGAAACATAACACAATGAATTTATTTGAACAAAAAGCAGATACAGTTCTTAGCAGCTCAAAATACCTAAAAAATGAAGATATTCCAAGCCAATCACAACCTCTGCAGCATAAAACCTGGAGAGGTACTAATTGTTAGATATTTATTAAGATCGTACAACATAAGAAGGGCATGATATCTGGACAATAAGCTCAGACATAAAGAAATATTGTTGATGTTTATGCACTGGAGTTTAACAAAGAAAAGAAAAAGAGCTGAATTGAATAAAGAGAGTTGCGTTTTTCTGCATTACAAAATATGTTTTCATTACAGCTGATAAAGCAAAGTTTTACACTGACTTATACCTACTTTGCAGACATATAATAACTTAAATTAATCTAAAGCCACACACTTATATCAACTAACAACTACTGCATCAGAACATCCCTTACAATCTGGAATGCATATCACACTTTTACAAAATGAGCTAAACATGCAGCATATCAAATACACCCCTGGCAGACTTCAGTTCAGGTTTTGCCGCCAACACACATTCAAAAACTTTAACTAAACTGCTGCATTTCCAGCCAATCATCAACGTTCAACACTCCTCCTTGATGGTTGGCTGGAAACACCAAGTTTGAATCTGAATTCTTCAAACTTGGCTTTGGAGACAGCTTTGGTCATAATGTCAGCCACTTGCGATTCATTCCTACAATGCACCAGTTTCACTTCACTATTTTGCTCAGACTCTCTCACTGCATGGAACTTTATTTTTATGTGCTTTGTACGTCCATATTGCACAGGATTCTTGGCCATAGCTACTACAGATTGATTGTCACACATGATGGCAGTAGCTTTGTTCTGTTTCAGCTTCAAATCATCAAGGACTTTTCTCAACCAAATGGCTTGATTCACAGCTGCGGATATATACTCTGCTTCAGTTGTGGATTGAGCCACGGTTTCTTGCTTTCTGGAAAGCCAGCAGATAGCACCATGATTAAGGAAAAATGCAAATCCTGAAGTGCTCCTCATATCATCTATCGAACCAGCCCAATCGTTATCCGAATAACCAACTAAACTGAAATCTTCTGATCTCTTGAACCACACCCCATAATCAGTGCTTCCTTTTACATACCTCAGCACCCTTTTTGCTGTTTTGAAGTGTGTTTCAGTTGGTTTACTCATAAACCTGGACAGCAAACTGGTTGCATACATCAAATCTGGCCTAGTTGCTATCAAATACAACAGACACCCTATTAAACTCCTGTACAATCCTTCATCAACCTTCTCACCATCATCATCCTTTAATAGCTTTAAGTTTGGAACCAAAGGCAGATTTATTGGTTTGCAATTTTCCATGCATAACTTTTTCAAAACTTCATTTGCATACCTTTTTTTATTCACAAAGATCCCATTCACTTGTTGATCAATCTCCATTCCAAGAAAGTAAGACATTCCACCCAAGTCAGTCATTTCAAACTTACTTTGCATGGATTTCTTGAATTCATCCACTTGAGTTTGATTGCTCCCAATTACTAGAAGATCATCCACATACAATGAAATGATCATCAAGTCATCTTCAGCTTCTCTAATGTATAGAGTGTGTTCATTTGGACTCCTAATAAAATCCAAGTTCAATAAGTGGCCATTGATCCTGCTGTATCAGGCCCTTGGAGCATGTTTTAGGCCATACAAGGCTTTCCTCAGCAAATACACCTTTCCCTCCTGTCCTTGGATCACATACCCTTCAGGTTGTTCAATGTAGATTTCCTCATTCAACCAACCATTCACTAAGGCAGATTTTACATCCATTTGGTACACTTTCCAGGAGAATTGAGCAGCCACTACAAGTAGCAGTCTAATGGTGTCATGTTGTGCAACAGGAGCAAATGTCTCCAGGAAATCCATTCCATACTGCTGAGCAAATCCCTTAACTACAAGCCTGGCCTTATGCTTCAGAATTGACCCATCCGGATTCAGCTTTCTTCTGAAAATCCATTTCACCTGAATAACCTTTCTGTTTTCTGGTCTGTCCACTAGCTTCCAGGTTTGGTTTTTCTCAATCATGGCAAGCTTCTCCTTCATGGCACTCCTCCAGGATTCTGATTGTGTAGCCTCTAAATAACTTGTAGGTTCCATTTGTGCTAAGTTGCACCTGTCATACACATCAGCTAGAGTTTTGGTTCCCCTAATAGCAACTTCTTTTTCTGATTGCTCCCCTGAATCTTCTTCAATTTGATCAGGTTGAACCTCACTCAATTGAGGTTGTGTATCTACATCAGCTCTACCATTTTCCCAGTTCCAGACTCCTTTCTCATCAACCTTAACATCTTAGGACACCACTACTTTTCTAGAGTAAGGAATATAAATCCTGTAGGCCTTGGATTGGCTACTGTAGCCAATAAATATTCCAGTCATAGCCTTATCCTCCAGCTTAGTCCTCTTTGCAGATGGCATTAGGACATAGCAAAGGCTTTCAAAAATCTTCAGTTCATCCACTGCTGGTCTGACTCCAGTCCAAGCTTCAAAAGGTGTTTAATTTTTCAAGGCTTTGGTGGGAATTCTGTTGAGTAGGTAGACACTTGTGTTTGCTGCTTCTGCCCAAAATGTTTGGGAAGATTTTTCTCAGCCATTAATCATCTTGCCATTTCCATGACTGTCCTATTTCTCCTCTCACAAACTCCCTTTTGTTGTGGAGTGTATGGACTACTGAATTCATGTCTTATTCTAGCTTCAGTGCAGGTTTTTTCAAACTCTTGAGAAGTGTATTTAGTGCCATTATCACTTCTCAAGGTTTTGATGGATTTTTCTGTCAAATTTTCTACTTCTAGTTTGAATTTTCGGAATGTTCCAGCCACCTCATTTTTCTATCTTAGGAAGTAAATCCACCCCATCCTAGACCAATCATCTATGAACAATACAAAGTACTTGCTCCCATTGAGTGATAAGGTTTGCATGGGGCCACATACATCCGAGTGAACAAGCTGGAGTTTTTTAGAGGCTCTCCAAGCTTGGTTCACTGGGAATGGTTTCCTACTCATCTTACCTAGTTGACACACTTTGCACACACCTCTCGGCTGCTTAACAATAGGCAGATTCTAGACTAGATTTTTAGACTGCATTTCACTCAAATTTCTATAGTGTACATGGCCTAATCTCTTGTGCCACATTTTAGTTTCATCTTCTTTAACATTGCATGCTGTGTGTGGTGTAACTTTCCACATTATTGGAAAGCTTTTCCCTACCATTTTCACTCTCAAAATCTCATTACCCTTACTGTCTTGAATAATGCAGGATTGTTTTTGAAAATGTATTGCATAATTCCTTTCCAACATTTGTCCCACACTCAAAAGACTTTGACTTATATTAGGTGCATAAAGTACATTTGAGATTAGCTTTGTACCTTTTGGAGTTTGAATTGCAACATCTCCCTTGCCTCTTGCTTCCACACACTCTCCATTCCCAACTTTAATCTTTGACCGATGAGAGTTATCTATATTCACAAAGCAGCTCAAGTCTGGTGTCATGTGATGTGTGCAGCCACTGTCAAGTAGCCATGTATCATCACTGGTTTGGACCAGATTTGAAGAGGCCACAAACAGCTGTTCTGTCTCCTGCACTGGTTGTTGTTCATCAGCTGTTTGAGCTTGTTGTTGGGACTGCTCTCCCTTGTTTTTGCACACTCTTTTAGGCCAAACTATTTGCAAGCTCGACACTGTATACCAGTTCTGAACCAACATTTGTGCTCTGCATGTCCTTTTCTTTTGCAATGAGAACAGGCCAGAAAACTCTTCATCCCACCAGTTTTATTCCACTGGTTATTAGCCCTTTCTTTTCCTCTTTTTTCCCCAGCAAACTTCCTACAGTTCCCTTGTCCAGTCTTGCCCTTATAGGTTGCTAACATTGCCCCTTCATTTGCATCCTTTAGCCTTAGGAGCCTTCTCTGCTCTTGTGCCTGCAAAGCATGGACCAGCTCAATCAATGTGATATGAGTTAGGTCCTTTTAGTCCTCCAAGGATGAGATTTTGGCTTCAAACCTTTTCGGCAAGCTCACCATTACCTTCTCCACTATTATGCTGTCTAACATCTCCACTCCGAGTAATCTGATTTTGTTGACAATGTTCATCAGCCTATCAACATATTCTTTCACTTTCTCAGCCTCCTGCATTCTTAAAGATTCAAACTCCCTTCTCAAATTCAGAACCTACATGTTTATTGTAGTGTTACTTCCCATGAACTCTTCCATCAACTTGTCCCATGATTCTTTGGCTGTTTCACATGCCATAATCCTTGTGAAAACAAGGTCTGTGACAACTGAGTGGATGTGGGACAAGGCTCTTGGAGCCTTTGATGCTTCCCCTTCATGCATTTGAATTTGGTTAAGAGTGGGATTTGGTCCCAGCTGAGGGGGCTGTCTCTCTTCCTCTCATACTGCCAGAATCCTTGGCCCCTCAGGTAAGCCTTCATTTTGACTGACTAAATATGTTAGTGTTCACCGTTGAACACAGGAGGTAGAAGGGAAGCTGTTGGAGTAGTCATTTGTTCAAGAAAAACCAGGTCTGATGCAATACAGTTTCACGAAGAGCTGGATGAGTTGTTTTGGAGAAGAAATGTTTAGTTTTTTTGGTTGGAATCAATGTAGCTCTGATACCATGTTGATGTTTATGCACTGGAGTTTAACAAAGAAAAGAAAAAGAGCTGAATTGAATAAAGAGAGATGCGTTTTTCTGCATTACAAAATATGTTTTCATTACAGCTGATAAAGCAAAGTTTTACACTGACTTATACCTAATTTGCAAACATATAATAACTTAAATTAATCTAAAGCCACACACTTATATCAACTAACAACTACTGCATCAGAACATCCCTTACAATCTGGAATGCATATCACACTTTTACAAAATGAGCTAAACATGCAGCATATCAAATACACCCCTGGCAGACTTCAGTTTAGGTTTTGCCGCCAACACACATTCAAAAACTTTAACTAAACTGCTGCATTTCCAGCCATGCATCAATGTTCAACAAAAATAAAAGAAAAGAAAAAGGAAAACAATATTAAACAGCCAGTCTCAAACTCTAGCAAGAATAAATGTAAAGTAATTGAATTTTCTCTAGGTCAGTCATCTGAAAGCAACATACTTCAATAACTTGCTTTAAGTTGCATTGAAAGTATATCATTAGCAAAGTTTCAGGTCGTTCAACAAGAAATAATCAGATACCTTCAGAGGTAACAGATGAAAGTACTTGGCAGATTCCTCTTTAAATAACTTCATACGCTGCCTTTCAAGTAAAGCAAATAACTCTCCACCAGAGCAAAAGTCTGTAACCAAACATGTGTGTAGGAGTCTGAGGAGAAAAAGAGACATCAGTATGCATTACTGCAGTTACTAAGTCATTTTAAGAAACCCAACAAGAAAATTTCTTGATATGACTCTAATGAAATATGTTAAATTGTAGTATTAAGGGTATTGGATTGATGATCAATATAAACATAAAACAAATAACAAGTCGCAGGATCTCTCAGTTTCAAAGAGAAAAGGTTGAAAATATTAAGAAATTTTCTTTTCCTATTTTAATTGGGATTTGTTTCCTAGGGTAGATTTCCATTGTCTATTTAGTTTAGGTTTCGGCAACTACAGATAAGAGCTTTATTTTCGGTTGGAATCAAGACTTGCTAATATTGATTATTGTGTAATATAGCATTATTTCTCCCTCAAATTCTCTCTGTATTTCTCTCTTTTCTTTTTCCTCATTTGACTTTCATCACACGTCTGCATATGTTTTTCCTCTTTTGATGTTTTACTCTAATACTAAAATTTAGGTTGGTTGAACTTTATTATTTTCCAACCCTTCTTTTGTTTTATCTACAACTTAAGCTATAGAGACAAAACCAGGATGGTAAAGCATGCTCATAGAATTTATGCAAAACTCATGCCAACTAGAGAACAAGGTTGCATGAATGTACAGAATTCGAGCATCCACATTGACAAAATAAGTAAAATAGGAAGATTATTCTAGCTAGAAATTAATATTAGCACTTTAGAGAAGGAGAAAAAAAAAAAGTAACCTATTGCCACATTGCAAGTTCTTATGCAACCCCCCACCCTCAGGAAAAGAAGAAGAAGAAGAAGAGAAGATTTAAGGTTTACATAAACTGACTACTTATATTAGAAGCAAGAAAGACCATATTTTATAAATAAGTGCTTTTTCCCACTGTTTAGTCACTTGAGCAGAGACAGCATTAATTTTAAAGTCCAGTTTATGATTATGGATTCACCAAAGTTGTAACCAATGGTACATTTTTTGTACCAGAGAAATTGCTTTTTTCAGTGCATATTGGTGTTGTGATGTTTGTTTGTTTTTCGCTGGAATGGGGCTAACATTGATCAGGTTTGTTCATTCCAAGCAAGAGCCATTACTTCAATTCAAGATTTGTTTGTTTAAAGGTTGAAGTTTCACTGTGCAACATAAATCTGGGTGCCCTTTTACCCCATCAAAGCCGATCTTGGTGGATTGCCCAAATCAAGCCAAATTTGTTCTTTTATTCTCTTAGATGGGCATACAAATGAAGTGATATGCTCTTCCGTAAAATGATTGTATCATATTATTCATACACTCGTTTAACAGTATCATAAAGACCACATCATATGTGCACTTATTCAATGTCAACAAAAAATAAGTGCCTTAGTACATAAAGGAAACGGAAAATGAAACATAATTCATAGATCAATTCAATTATGTAAATATTCCATTCCGAAAATATGAAGTGAAATAATTAGGTCTTTTTTTAAGATCGGTACTAAATCAAGATCTAACATGTACAAAGTGAAAACCTCATTCTCGATTCTGTGAGAATTTTTAGGAAAGCATCCAACAAAATCATGAAGAGTTTTAAGTGAAACAAACATAATCACATGTGATATGGATATTCAATCAAAATGAATATACATGTGCGGAAATTTTAATCGGCCAAGCATACAGATGATATTCTTAATATTCTTCCTCAAATATTTTCCAGACCAAAAACATTTTTTCACATTTTCCACAAGCATGAGATGCAAGGCCATTGCTTTTTCGTCCTCAAACATGTATCGTTGGTCATAATTGTGTTTACAGAAACATATTAAGGCAAAACCTTATGTTTTTTTTTTTATAAGAAAAAGAAGTTTGTCAATTACTGTACTATTCTAGTTAACATGTAACATGTAACTAAACCTCACTTCTTAAGGAATATTTCTCTAAACTCATTATTTGACTTCAGCTTCTCATCTTCCACTTCCCCAGATTTTGGATTCGTCGAGGGCACACCAAGTGGTCTGACATTCCTCGGCATTGCAAATGTGTTCCTCCCCTTCAGCTGAATGTTATCACTACGTTTATTAGCAGCATAGTGTGGCACTCTAGATTCCCTTAATGTCTGATTATTATTTTGTTTTTCCATTTAACCCAAAGGAGTAAGAAAATAAAATGTAGAAGTGGGAAACACAAACATGCAAACGTCTATAGACTGCATTGTATACAAACACACACACACACACACATAATAACAAAGATAAAACATAATTCCACTTAGCCTACCATGTTCTCCAAAGGCCCTATGACCAGCAGAATCCTTTCTCCTTTGCTTCGGATTTGATCTTGCAATGCTTATCTTCTTCCCAACAAACGTTTGTTTGTTCTTTCCTACAGCTACAGTAAGGTGTGCATCATCGGCAAAATCCACATATGCCAAACCCTTCAAAAATCGACCAGAGGATATTATAAATTAGTGTGCAACGGTTCTAGGCATAGGGCAAGCTGGAATATGGGTAAATCTGTATGGGACTATGGTTGAGTCTTCTAAGCATATCACTTGCTATCAAAATGAAAAAATATGCTCTTAGATAGTTAGACTCTTTATACTTAGAAAATTAAGCAATTTTACCATAATTATGGAATTCAACCCTTCAGCAGGTTTATTTGAGACTACGTAATCATCTCTGGCAAGGACATTCATCTTAAAACCAAAAACGTAAGAACTAAATGATTTATTGACAACATGAAAGGAAAAATCAAATTGAAGTTTCAGTGAGCACCCTTGAGAAATTTGATCAAAGAGAATGGACTGCATTTAGTAGTTTCTATCTCCTCGAAGCATCAACCATGCTGGTCTCCCAGTCTCATTAAAATTAGTTTCTTAGGGCTAATTTCCATGGTACAGTCCACATTATGCGTACACATGTTGAAGTTTAAAGGTCAGGCAATGTTAAATACGGATTTGACTGTAAGACTGATGTGCACATGCAAGGTCTAGTGGATAGCTTCCCCTTTTTCATTTGAAGCATAATGCACAAAGAACATTGACAAATAATGAATGAGAGAAACAGAGTCATACCCTTGACTTTCCGGTGAACTTGTCCTGCAGAATTCGAACAGGTTCAACCCACCAACATGGCTAAAGAATTTTTTCAGATCTTCAGTAGTTGCCTGAAAAAAAATTTAAAACCATCATAATGATCTCTCTACATTTTCCTATCCAGCGTTAAAAAGGAAAAAAAAGCAATCTCTCTATGAAGTGCGAGAGAATCTCTACTTGGCTTGAAGTTAAGGTTTGATAAAAATGCAATACACTTGTCAGTGTATACTTTGGCTCTTCCAGTGGTGAAGTCTTTGATGTGCTAGTCATTTGGATGCTCTTCAAACTTGGGTTTTGCTTCTTCTACTTTGTTTTCTTCAACTAAGTTCTGTACTCGTCCCTTTTCTTTCCCATGCACTTTGTTTGGGTTTTAGGCAATATTTTTCTACCGCTTAGCTGGAGACTGTTCGTTAGTCATGTTTGAATCTGTTTTTCTCCTTCCATTAACACTTTTCTTGTGTAGGCAAGCAAGCTATTCATAAAAGCAATGACAAGAGGGAACTCAAAATCTATAGACAAACAAAATTTCAAACAACTGCAAATTATCGAAAACTAACCTCCCAAGTCAACCATCACTGCTTCCTAGTTGCAACATACGAAAAAAAAAAAAAAAAAAGGAAGAAAAGCTCAAAACTTCATTTCTTTTACTCAATTAAGCTGACATTTGAGCTAAGGCTCAGTAGATAGAAGTCACATAAACTTTAATTCAACATCGTTTTCACCATTTAAACGCCAAAAGATAAACACTTCCTCCTATCAAACGAATTCATTTAATTTTTCTCTTTATACTTTCTCTCGTTAACCATAAACCCTAAGCGATCAAAATTTAATCATGAAACCAATAACAAGAACACAAAATGAAAAAACTAAAACATACCCCTTTGAAATAGAAGCTTCATCTCAAGCCCACTCTTGCCACATAATAGGAGTCAATGGAAAAATCTCATTCATAGCTTCTCTTGCTTGTCTCAGCTTCTCAATCTCACCCATCTTCCTCAAAACCCTTATATACTAAAACCACCAACAAAAAAAATTAAAAAGCAAAACAATAATATTACCAAAAACAAAGATCCAAGAACTAGGTATTGAAATTTATATTCAAATTGATTAAAAACGTACTTGAACATGGACTTCATAGTTGGACGGTTCATTGGCGAGCAAGGACTCGATGTCTTGAAGCTCAAATTTTTGCTGTGCTTCGTATTCTAAGTCTGAGTCCGAGTCACTTGAGTCTCTCGAGTCTAGAGACTTGGGCTTTGTTGCTTCTGGGTTTTCGTTAGTATCCACCATAGCCATGTCTGTGTCTTCTTCTTCTTCTTGGGTTTTTGGCGCTAGGGTTTCATCTTCTGGTTCCATTCTTCTGCTTCGTTTGCTCTGTGTTTCTCTCAAGTGTACTGAAGGGTTGGGTATATTGCAACGGTACCCAGAGATTTGGCGTGAACTTTCCCTAATTTTTTTAAATCACACTTCATCCCCATATATATATGTATATTCTAATTCTAATAAGGAAGATTTTTTAACGTCGAGTATCTAGTATTGAAATTATTATTATTAACTGTTTACTTTATTAGTTCATTTCTGATACATTAAAACTAATAACTGATACTGAACTGATCATAAATGTTAACTGATGCATTAACAGATATGATCAACACATATCAAGTGATTAAACAGTCAAACATACACCCATCTTAATAAAGAACTTTTGTTATGAATGTGCTTCCTAGTTCCTATAACATTGTAATCTTTGTTATGACCTTTATTTCTTGCAAAATTTGGAAACAATGCTACCCATCAAAACTAAATTTTGAAAATAGTTACAAGAATCGGATGACTAATAGTTGAACAATATAATTTACATAAGCATTTCAAATGTTTTCTTTTAAAATACAACTAATTAACTGTACAAAAAATTGCATGATAGTAATANTACAAAGAGTAGTAAGTCAAG